CCCGTACTACAATAAGCAAAACATCATGAAGAAAATATATCAGTCGGGTATAGTGAAATAAAAAAATTATTTAAATTATTCTTTGCTTTGTTTTATATCACAGATGAATAAACATACTGAAAACAAAACAATCCCACTTTTACAGCAGGGACATTTTATAAACTATTTTATTTATTTCTGTTTGATGGATTTCATGTGTAATTGTCTTTATTTGTTGTCTGTTTTACAGTAATTTTAACCATTTTTTTTACCAGATTTCATGTTCTTGGTTGCATTATTTTGATCACATTGTAGTCTTTATAATCACACTATGTTGTATATTATAAATCTACTATCTGATTGTTGTTGTTTTTTTAATGTCACACAGCATTTCAGTGTCTGTTTGTGTATTCATTTCAGTCAGTTAGAGTTTCTGCATGAGCTGTCCAGGACCTGAATGCATCTCAGATTGCTGACATTATCCTGAAAAGTTAGTTGTGTGTTCTCCTTGAAATTTCCAAACATAGGGTTACCTAGAGGTCTACAAAGTATCTGTTAAAAAGTAAAAGTTAAAAAATCACTTATGAGAGTAAAAGTCATGTTCACCAAAATCAGGAAAAAGTACTTTTACACGCTCTCTAAGAAAAACTGGTTCCACTAAACCGAGTTGAGTAAATTGAGCAATATACATACTTTCTTTGAAAGAAAAAATATATACACTCACTGGCCACTTTATTAGGTACACTTGTCCAACTGCTCATTAAAGCAAATGTTGAACCAGCTAATCATATGGCAGCAACTCAGTGCATTTAGGCATGTAGACATGGTCAAGACAATCTCCTGCAGTTCAAACTGAGCATCAGAATGGGGAAGAAAGGTGATTTGAGTGCCTTTGAACGTGGCATGGTTGTTGGTGCCAGATGGGCTGGTCTGAGCATTTCACAAACTGCTGATCTACTGGAATTTTCACCCACAACCATCTCCAGGGTTTACAGATAATGGCCTGAAAAAGAGAAAATATCCAGTGAGCGGCAGTCCTGTGGGCGGAAATGCCTTGTTGATGCCAGAGGTCAGAGGAGACTGAGCATACTGGTTCGAGGTGACAGAACGGCAACAGTAACTCAAATAACCACTCGTTACAACCGAGGTTTGCAGAGGATCATCTCTGAACACACAACACGACAAACCTTGAGGCGCTCAGTCTACAGCAGCAGAAGACCACACCAGGCGCCACTCCTGTCAGCTAATAACAGGACTGAAGCTACAATTCACACAGGCTCACCAAAACTGGACAATAGAGGATTGGAAAAACGTTGCCTGGTCTGATGAGTCTSGATTTCTGCTGCGACATTCGGATGGTAGGGTCAGAATTTGGCGTCAACAACATGAAAGCATGGATCCATCCTGCCTTGTACCAACGGTTCAGGCTGGTGGTGGTGGTGYMRTGGTGTGGGGGATTTTTTCCTGGCACACCATGGGCCCATTAGTACCAACTGAGCGTCGTGTCAACGCCACAGTCTACCTGAGTATTGTTGCTGACCATGTCCATCCCTTTATGACCACAGTGTACCATCTTTTGATGGCTACTTCCAGCAGGATAACATGCCATGTCATAAAGCKSSAATCATCTCAGACTGGTTTCTAGAACATGACAATGAGTTCACTGAACTTGAACGGCCTCAATTGTCACCAGATCTCATCATTAGAGCACCTTTGGGATGTGGTGGAACAGGAGATTCTCATCATGGATGTGCAGCCGACAAATCTGCTGCAACTATGTGATGCTGTCATGTCACTATGGACCAGACTGTCTGAGGAATGTTTCCAGTACCTTGTTGAGTCTATGCTGTGAAGGATTAAGGCAGTTCTGAAGGCAAAATGGGGTCCAACTCGATACTAGCAAGGTGTACCTAATAAAGTGGTCGGTGAGTGTATATACAGTATATATATTGCAAGAAAGTATGTATATTGCTTTCATATTTGCTCTATTTAGTGGAACCAGTTGATATGACTTGTTTGAGTAAATTCAACACATTTTTAAAGTGCATAAACAAATCATTTCATGAGTTCTGACAGATTTAAGTTTGTAACAAGTAACTAGGTTTTACATTTTAAAGTAAAGAAGTATCATTTTTCGGTTTTAAATGTAACAAAATAAAAGTAAAAGTAATGATTTGAAAAGATACTTGGTAAAATTGCAAATCCTCAAAAGTACTGTGAGAAAGTAAATACTGTGCTATAAACCTCTGGATTTACCATGTGTGAAACTGTGAGCTCAGAGTAATCAAATAAAGCCACAATTCTCAGATTTGGATTATCTTTTCTATCCTAAATGTTAAAACACGATCATCAAAGAATATAATAGTAATTTAAGCCATGGGCGTAAGCGCCATAGGCATTGGGTGGGACATGCCCCC